GTGGAGACATATTTTGTGGATGACAACGTGTGGCCAAGGTGACGCTGAAGTGTCAGCCGAGGTGTCACATGGTCTGGTCTTTGTGTCAAAGTGATCTCGGCTAGGCTAAGGTTGTCTGCGGAGATATCGGAATTCGAGCAAAGCGGATAAGATACAGGAGTCCTAAAACGGGGGAAGATCTCAGTCTGGATAAGGATAAAGCTCTTAGGGAGTCCAGGATAAACATTGAACCTGAGTCTACTTAAGTGAGGCTTCTGTAAGAATCAGGTTAGTGTTGGCTATAAAAGCAAGATAGCCTCGTGGGTTTAAGGTATGTTTTTATGTGTGATATACTGTTATTTCTTGTGAGTTAAGCACAATTTGCTATCTTTGAGAGATTTTTGATTACTAACTTGATCGTCGGAATGCTCCGGGGTGGACGAACCACCGCTAGATTCTTATCTTTCTGTGACAGGTTGTTTGGGTTTAGCCTATTCTGCCCGTGCTCTCCAACTGAGTTTCCTGTTTGGTTGTGTAATTGGAAATCAATACCCACACTCACTTAACCTAAGATTTAGAAAGAAAAAAATATATAATTAGTCCTATACTTTTGAGATGATTACACAAGTCTTCCTTGAAGTTTTAATTCACATAATAATTAGATCATTTTCATTAATAACTCGTTAATTGTATGAATGAAAAATAATATTGTCTATATTTTTAACTAAAATATATATTTATCTTTATTTATTTCAATGCCTACCCACCATCTGTATTAGTTTCAATCATTTTAGATATACTCAAATGAATAAATATATATTTATTTTTATTTATTTCAATATGTACCCACCATCGCATTAGTTTCAGTCATTTTAGATACACTCAAATAGAAATCAGTGTAATTATATAATAAAAATTTATGAAATTGTATTTTTTTCAAACTTCACAAAATGAGTAGAATTTATCCTAAAATTTGTTTCTATAGCTCACAATTTCAAAACTATCATTACTAAAGTAATCTAGATTAAAATTTTATTTATTCTATGCACGAAAATCTGGAAACTTATTAAATACAAAAGTAAATTTTCTTTCCACAATGTACTAGAATTTCTTCAAAAGGTTCAAGTACTATAATATATAATAGGTGTGGAAAGAGGAAAATTTTACCATACATAAAAGTGGTTTTTATATATGGTATATAAAAAAAAATATGGACTCTCAGATTTAGATAAGATAAATAGTAGTTATTGAATGAATCAAAAGTAAAATTAGGAAGAAAAAGTGATGTGGTTTTCTAAAAAGTAAAGTAATTTTGGTTAACTTTAAAATTTTAAAAAAAATGATGTTAACTTATCATTTATTACGAGCATACTTACTATTTGTTATGAATAAATTTACTATTTAAAATATTACCTGTCCAGGTCACCTTCAATTCTTGAATATTGTATCCTCTTTTATATTTTAAATTAATTTTAAATATATAAAACTAATGACATTACATATTTAACTATTTTCTCTCTATATTTTGACTTGTTATGATTTGTAAAAAGTAGAATATGATATGTAAATATTAATTTATTAAATTTTTTTAAAATTTACTAATTTTTTTAAATAGTCATTATTGTGAAAAATTAATTTTCAATATAATATTAAAAATAAATAAAAATAGAAAAAAAATGTAAATAGAATATTTTTAAATTATAAGTTATTTAAACTTAATTTTAAAAAAATTAATTGAAAATAGCTTCTTTCTTTTTTTTCTTTCTTTTTTTTTTACCTACAACACCTCAAAATAGAAATTACTATTTAAGGGCCTATTTGGTAACATTTATATTTGTCGTTTTCTATTTAAGTATAATTTCATTGACTTTTAACTTAAGTATATTGAAGTAGTGTCTTATTGATTAGTAAGTCATATTTAATTAAGCAGTAAGTATAGTTTGATTGAGTAGTAAGTGAAAACTCAATAAATAATAACTAAAGTCTAATAAAATAGTAAGTGAAAATTGAAATATCTCATTGAATAATAACATCTTGTGTGGTAAAACAAGCATGTGGCTATTAGAATATTGGATACATACAAAAGGACATGTACTACTATGTTGGAACTAAGCATAGAACACAAGTTGTGGATGACAACGCAGAAGGTGCTTTGGCTTAGTATCAATTATGATAGTACTTATCACTTATTATGATAAATTGACAATACTTATCACTCTTAAACATAATACTTATTATTTGTTCTAATTGAGTAGTAAGTAAAGTCTAATAAGTAATGTTTAATTGAATAGCAGATCAAGTCTTATTGAGTAATAAATAGAGTTTAATTGAGTAGTACGCAAAATCTAATAAAATAGTCAGTAGAGTTTCATTGAGTAGTAAATGGGATTTAATTAAATAGTAAGTCAAATGCAATTAAGTAGTGTCTTATTGAGTAGTAAGCCATATATTTAATTGAGTAGTAAGTGGAGTCTCTCATTGAATAGTAAGTGAGGTTTAATATGATACAATTAAATGAGATTTAAATGAGTAGTAAGTGAAATTTAATGAATAGTAAATCAAATCCAATTGAGTGGTATCTTTTTAAGTAGTAGTGAAGTGGAGTTTGATTGTGTAGTAAGATAAGGGGTTGTTTGGGGTGTCCTAAATAAGTGCACTTTTTGTCTTTTTGGACTAAAAAATTGAGGAAGAAAATATAGATGTTTGGGTTAACTTTTTGACTTTTTATGGAAAAATGTGTAATAAAAAATTATAAAAATTGGTTTGTAGGAGAAAATTAGAATTGAGAATTGTGCAGCCGTAATTGTTGACTTTTAGTGAATAGTGTTAACTTTTTAACTTTTTGAGTAACTTTTTGACTTTTTCTGGACATGCCAAACTTGGCCTAAGTCTCATTGACTAATAAATAGTGTTTAATTGGATAGTACGTCAAGTTTGATGGAGTAGTAAGTAAACAATTAACGAGTAGTAAGTGGAATATCAACAGTAGTAAGGGGTTGTTTGGGATGTTCAAAATAAGTGTACTTTTTGACTTTTTATAAAAAAAATGTGTAGAAAAGTAGAGAAGAGATGTTGATTGATGTGACCTAAAAAAGATAAAAAGATAAAAAGTGTGGACTTATTTAGTCTTCCCAAACTAGGCCTAAGTGAAGCCTCATTAAGTAGTAAGTAGGGTTTAATTTAGTAGTAAGTAGAGTCTCATTAAGTAGTAAATGAACTGTAATGAAATAGTAAGTGGAAGCTTATTGAATAGTAAGTGAAACCAAAACTAAGTAGATAATGGAGTCAATTGAAATAGTAAGTGGAAGCTCATTAAATAATAAGTGAAACTAAAATTGAATAGTAAGTAAAGTGTAATGAAATAATAAATGGAAAATCATTGAATAGTAAGTAAAGTCTAGCGAAATAGTAAATGGAAACTCGTTGAGTAGTAAGTGGAGTATAGTGAAATAGCAAGTGAAAGCTCATTAAGTAGTAAATGAAACCAAAATTGAGTAATAAGTGGAGTCTAGTGAAACAGTAAGTGAAAACTTATTAAGTACTGAGTGAAAGCTCAATGAGTGTTTTTCAACTTTTTTGGGACAATGGTAAATCTGATAAAATAGTAAATAGAATCTAATTGAGTAGTAAGTGAGATTTAATAAAATAGTAAGTCAAGTCCAATTAAGTGATGTCTTATTGAATAGTAAGTCATATTTGATTGAGTAATAAACGAGTTATAATCAAAGATCACAAAATCCATAACTATACATATAGTACATATCAGAAAAAGATTGTGTATTATAAAATTTTCCTATAAACATAAGAATAATACGCATGTACTTTATATATTCTAATATTAAATAAATAGTATCATTATTTTATTCATGTAACTAAAAAAATACTATACTTTGTTTGGTTCCATTTTTTTAAAAATACTTTTTAAAAAATTCTACTTTCCTGTTTTTCGTATTTTTTTTGTTTTTACTGAATTTTTTTAATGTTTTAAGAATTTTTTTTTACTTTTTAGAAATACCTAACATAAATATACCTAAAAAGTAAAAAATTTATGAAAAAAACCTTTTAAAAATTCACTAAATACCAAAAATATAAATTAAAAAAAAGAAGAAGAGAATTCAGTACATTTTTTGTATTTTTATGTATTTATTAATTTTTTAAAATATTTTTTCACAATTTTTTTATTTTTTAGATACATTTAAGTAAAGTGCATATAAAAAAGTAAAAAAAATATTTAAAATTTTAAAAATATTCACTAAAAACAAAAAAATACAAAAATTAAAAAACTCAATTTTCAAAAAATTTAATCCAAAAAAGTCAAACCAAACACATTGATTGGGAAAATAGCTAAATTTTGTTTAAATTAATAAATTTTAAAGAAATTCAATATAATTATGTTAAATTTTATGGTACTTAATATATTTTTTAAATTTTAAAAAAGATTAATCTAATTTTTTTTATATAAATAATTTAATGTGAAACATATATATAAATGTCATATTATTAAGAAATTATTTTTTGGTTCGGGAGCTCCACGTAACCTTACTCCTTATTAATCACAAACCACTATATTTCTGTTATTTTTCAATCATCTAATATAAAATTATAAATTTCATATCCTTTACTAATTACAATATATTTAAAACATCACGTAACTATAGCCCATGAACACCAAATAAATTTTTTATATCACCTGTTAGTACCAAAAAATAATATTATTATTATTATTATTTTTTTTATTATTATTATTATAAAGTCGCATCACATCACCGGTGGCATACCCTTTTTTTATTAGAAAACCACTTTTTGGTATCATACGTGAAACTTCTTTCATGTACGGTAGTTCAACCCGTGGAAATATCGCAAGTGGTCACCTAATTTTCATTAAATTTTTTTTTCCAATATTTAATTTTAATTAGCAAATATTCTAAAGCTAAAAACTAAAATCAACAAATCAGAAACCGCCACACGTCATTCTCCCAACACCCCCCCGACCCAAATACTAGTATATATAGAGTACATAGACAAGCAAATTTACCCACCTTGGTTAGGCATCATTCTTGTTTAGTGCTAATAATAAAGTAGTAATGAAAGGCTCAAAATTGTTTGTTTTGGTAATTCTTTCTGCAACTTTTCAGTACTGCTCTTCAGATGCTATTACTACTACTGCTAGTACTCCACCTCTGCACAACAAGAAGACTCCAGCAATATCTCCCAACCCTTTTGGCTCCTCTACACTCTTCCCTGTTAAAGGAAGTATTCAGGAGGGGTATGTTCTCTCTCTCTCTCTCTCTCTCTCTCACATACACACCCACACACACAGAATATGTGAAAATGTAGTTTTATTACTGCAGGCGGAAGAATAATAGTATATGTATTAATTAATGTACTAATTAATATATTAAGAGATGATATGATATAATTTTAAAAATTTTAAGTATTTATAATTTATATAATAGGTGGGATCAGTAATAATGATATAACACTAATTGATACACTAATATGTACATTAATTGATACATGTAGCACCACTGTGAGTAGAGCGCATTATTTCTCTTTCCAGTAGTAGCCCAATATTTTTGAGGGTTTATACATCAAAATGAACCCTTATTATCTGACTAAATTTTTAAAAGTTGATGTCGTCTTTCTCATTCAACCGAGAGACATAATTTTGAGAAAGTTGGGTGATAATAGAAAGATCACCATACTAGTCCAGATTTATTATTATTATTATTATTATTCAAGAGAGGTTGTTGGACTATCAAATTTATTTCGTGGTCCGTAGAAAATGAAAACTTAAATTTTAAATAATTTTTCACATGTTTTTTTTGCGTGGCTTGATTGGTAATCATCTTCCAACTTCATTTTTTTTATTATTATTTTTATTTTGGGTAAATTATATAAATTTTCATTAGATTTATAATAATTGCACAAATTATAAATTTTTGAAATGACAGAAACGTCCCTAAGAGAGCTAACCAAAACTAGTATTTTATATTTTTAACTCCGTATTTTTTTAATTTTTTTAAGAAAAATTACCACACAAAAAAAAAGAAAAAAAGAGAGAGTTGGACTCTTGTAACAAAATAAGTCTAGAATTTTTAATTTTATTAATTTAAATTCTGAACTTTTGATTAATTTTTAATCTGAGTTATTTGTCAATTTTTATTTTGTAAAATCGACGAAAAAAATATTTTAAACATTAAATTCAATGAAATTGAATCTTTTAGACATTTTATGTATATTTACATTGAGTTTAATGATTAAAATATTATTTTTTCATTGGTTTTAATTAACGAAAATATAGAAATAGTTTAGATTAAAAATAAATTAAAAAATTAAGATTTAAATTAGAATAATTTTTCACATATTAATAATCTTATTAAAAATAGAAATGATTACATGTGATTGTCGTGAAAAAAATAATAATATATTTGGATGTTTTGAATAGGATTGTTATTAAGATTTTAAGTAGATATAATATTATTTTTTAAATTAATAAAATTAAAATTTTATTTTACTATAAGAATGAGGTTTTTTTTTCTATTGGAGTGACTATAATTGACAATATTTAATTTGGTTGCCAAATCATGATGTGTAAATGGTATTTTAATTGTGAATTTTGCTAAATAACAGCCATTAAAGTGTATAAATAGTAGCAATGAATGTGTATAAACAACAACCATCAAATTGTATAAACAGCAGCAACCTATAAACAATTCTTTAATTTTCCTTGTTCTTATTGTGGACATAACAAAGTGCAAGTGTAATGAACCCTAAACCTGACTTCAGTGTTTTTTTTTTTTTTTTTTTTTTTGGTAAAAACGGAAGATAGAAAATAAAATGAAAGAAAAATAAATAAATATTTATTTTTTTATGCATTTGAATAGATGAAAAAATTTGTAAAAAAATGAACAAATAAAATAAAATTTGTCAAGATTTATAGGAAAATAAATAAATTACTTTTTGTATATTTTGCAAGAAATTATTAACTTATCAATCTAATTTGAGTTGTATAGAAAATTTTCATTACTTTTTGAAACTTTTTATCCAAATAAACATATAAAAATTTATTTATTTTTGTTTGTTTCACTCTCTTTCAAGCATATTTGTTTGGCCTTTTAAGTGGTGGGATTAAATTAATAATCCCATGAGTCTCATCAAACTCATATTTGTTTGTGTCACATGCTAAGAGACTACCAATCCTACTTATGGGTATAAGATTAGGAAGGGGTGAGATTGCTAATTCAATCCCCTTGAATTGAAGTAGAATGTCTATTTTGCCTAATAAAATCTAATCTAATAAAATCTATTTTTTACATAATTTCATAAATATAATCCCATATAACTAATAACACCACATTATTCCTCATTTTATCTTACATTTCTAATTTAATATTATCACATTATTAATTTTCCCACTCAATTTTATTATATTCATAATTTCATTCACCCTAATCCGATAAAGAAACGAACGGCAAACAAAACGGAGCCTGTATTACCTATCTAACCCTCTTCCTCTGACGCTGAAAGGCTTCAATGTAGTTTAACGCACACACAGTGTTCGACGAAATGCCCCAATCTCATTTCTCTATGATATTTGTTTATTTTTGGGTCATAAGTTGCACTAGGCATGCATGGTGTTCTAGAGGGGCGGTGGGAATGGGGTGGGGCTTGTGGCGGTAGTGATGGGTCTTGTTGCAGGGTTGAGAGTTGCGTGAGTGGCAATGGCGTTTTTGCGACCTTCGATAGCTCTGGTAGAGGTGTGGCTTGGCTTGTATGTGATTTTGTCCCAACAGTTCAGTAACCCATGGTCAACGATCGCAATATAGTGGGCAAGTGTAGTCACTAATACAATCTAATGGCAAACTATTTGGGTGCATGTTGTCCATATGTTTGTGTGATGTAGTTCTGACTTTGTTTGGGTTTTCCTGCCCTAGGACATCTCCAATCCTTCACCAAATCGTTCATTAAATTTAAATTTGATGAAAATTTTGGTCAAAATGAGGTCCAATTCTTTCATCAAACTTGTATCAAATCAAGGGAATAGCAAATTTTTCATCAAATCAAGGATGAACCAAATCTTTTATCAGATTTCCAACAAACCTTTTTCTACCTAAATTTGATGAAATTGTTAAAAGATACAGAATTGGAGTTGAGTTTTTTTCACCAAAATTGATGAAAAGTGAAATTTGGGATGAGAAAGTAATTTTTTTGAAAGATTTTGATCAAAATTTGATAAAAGGATTGGAGTAACTCATAACAAATCAATTTTTACTCAAATTTGGAATAAAATAGGAGATGGTCAACAGTCAACTAACTCAAGGGTGAAATTGAAATCCAAAAGTGAACCTGGAGAGATGTTCTCTAATGTTCCCCTTTATTTTGCTTTTGCTTTTATCTTGAAATTGTTGATCTAGTGTTGACACTGCTCTTGATAATAGAAGGGGAAATTACTTGCAGGTGGTATTTGCCAAAATTATTACATGTGTGTGGAAAAGTTTATGATATTTTCATAATTTTAATTATTAACATTGATAAAGTTTATCATTAATTTGTAATTATTTTTCAATAAAATCCCTGGAATGAAGTAAAAATAAAATTTCTTCCTCTGCCAGTTAATCAGATATTCAGTGTCAGTCTTCTTTCATTATATATGCAGGTACTATTATACAAACCTGGGAATAGGAAAGTCACACAAGTCCTACGTTGTTGATATTGATACTGGCAGTGAACTCACTTGGGTCATATGTGATGCATATCCACCACCAACTCTAAAATCTCGAAAGGTAGATTTTCACATTCCAAACAAGTTCTAAAATTAATTTCCGCACATATATAAATATACTCTCTCTTATATTTGTGCATGTGTGTTTGTGTGTGTGTGTGTGTGTGTGTGCAGGGCCAATCTCACCATGATCCATACAAGCTGTCCAGGGTAGTTATATCATGTGACGACCCTCTCTGTAATTATGCTAAACATCCTCGAGATGACCCATGCAGATTATTATCTAATGATAATCCATGTCCCTACCGGCTTGAATATGGCGATGGTAGTTCTTCTACTGGCACCCTCGTCAGAGACTACTTCCATACCCGCTTCACCAATGGCTCTATCCTTAGATCCTCCCTCATCTTTGGGTGGGTTACTTTTCCTAGAATGATATTTGGTTCAAAAGTTGTACTGAACACGATAGATAGATGTGTCGTGTTGTAATTGGTTGGACCGGTCTAAGTGGCCCATGGCACCAACCAATCAGTCCAATTTTTGGATCAAATAGTATTAGCACCGCTCTAGTAAAAAGTTGTGCTATACTTTGGACATTGAATTGAAATCAATTCTGATATTAGGAAAAAAAAAAAGAACTTGAGGACAATTTCCTGGTATGTGTTTGCCCCCTAGGTGGTTTGGATCATACCATTTTCTTCAAATTGTAGTTTTTGTTCTCAAAAGGCATGGGAGAGATTGAGTTTGACTTTGTAGTATTAGTTTTGCTTGGAAATTTTGTGAAATTTTATTATACCTCTTGAAAAGTGGTAGTTGAGTTTTTGAATTGCAAATAATCACAAGAGCATGTTTCTTGATCCTCCTCTCAGGTGTGGAACATATCACCCTCCAGAATCTGATCCAAATAAAAAGCTTTTCGGAGATGGAGTCCTTGGCCTTGCCAACGGTAAATTGAGCATTGTGCGGCAGCTACGTGAAAAGGGTCTGATGCTAAACAAAATTGGCCATTGTTTCAACTCCGAAAAAGATCAACAAGGATACCTTTTCTTTGGAGACTATCTTGACCCTTCTTCTTCTTCAAGTATTGAGTGGACACCAATGGTTACCCTATCAAAGTATAGTCCAAAATTTTATTTTACTTTATTTTATTTTTTTTCAATCTTGTATTATCACATGGGCATAACTATTTGTTCTGATTTTATTTCAGGGATAACAACCACTACTCGCCGGGGAGGGCAGATCTCCTTTTTGATAACAAGCCTACTTCTGTGAAGAAACTTGACGTAGTTTTTGACAGTGGGGCTACCTATGTCGTCTTAACTAGCCAAGCTTACAAAGCTGCTCTTAAAAATGTGAGATTTTTACAAAGAATATTATTATGTCTTCATTTCATACCCTAGTCTATTTGAACCCAAAAAAAATGTTGCGTGAATAGAAAAATCAATGTGTTGTCCAAATTCATGCTGCACATTGATTTTTCTATGCATTTTCCTATATTTTTTTTTGTTTTTGATGTACAAGTAGGGTTGTTCTGCGAACACAAAAGGTAACTAGTGTTTCATGTTTTCAGGTACAAAGGAATCTAGACAGAACACCCCTGGTGCTGGTTGAGGATGCTTTTCTTGAAAAATGTTGGGGATGGAGTAAGCGGATCGAATCTATTGATGAAGTGAAGAAATACTTCAAGAGCATGGCACTGAACTTCACAAATGCCAGGAATTTTGTGCAATTCCAATTGCCACCTCAATCTTACCTTATCATCTCAGTGAGCAACTCTTCCAACCTTAACTTCTTTGTCTTGCAATTTGTGTTAGGAAAAAATTACCGCTCGCACCAAAATTATCTGACATCTCACAAAATATCGACACGTGGTAGTTGCGAACAAAATTTCGCAATAACAGATGCTAATAAAATGTGATGTCAGTAATTTCAATATACTTTTCTTTTTTTTTTTTCTTCTACTTCTTTTTGTGCTCGTAGTATTGCTGATTTGTCAAAATGAGAAAGCAAATTTTGTAATGAATAATGATGATATATGCTCATAGCTGTTGGCTTTCAGCCTTCAGGGAATGTCTGCTTTGGGATTTCGTATGACTCCGAGTCAGCTGGTCAGAACATAATTGCGGGTAAGAATTGCTAAAATTTAATATATATATATATATGATGATGATGAAAGTCCATAAAATCCACCCTGTTTGGTGTATATTTTTTGAAAAACACAACTTATTTGGTTCTTTATTTTTATTTTTTTTAAACTCATTGTTTGGGAAGTACTAAAAACTTGTTTACATTTGTTTTAAATTTATTTTTGTACAAAAATAAAAAGGGAAAATTACAAATAAAATCACATAGCTTTACCCTTATAACAAAATAAACTCTAAGATTTTAATTTTATCAATTTAAATACTGAACTTTTGATTTGTTTTCAATCTGAATCATTTGCCTATTTTCATTAAGTTTTAATCGATGAAAAAATAGATATTTTAGTCATTAAACTAATGAAAATTGGTGTTTTAGATATTTTATACTTACATTGAATTTAATGATTAATATTTTTTTTTATCAGTTTTAATTAACGAAAATATGCAAATGGTTTAAATTGAAAATAAATCAAAATATTAGAGTTCAAATTGATGAAGTTAAAAACTCAATGTTTATTTTTTTTTAAGCTTATATTAATAAATTATTTGTGTTTCCAATAATTTATTTATGGAGAAATTACAAAAAACAAACTCCAAGGTTTGAGCCTTATATCAAAATGAACCTTCAATTTTTAATTTCGTCAATTTAAACCTTAATATTTTAATTTAAATCATTTGTCTATTTAAATTAAGTAAAATTGATAGAAAAATGATATTTTGGACATTATATTCGATGTAGGTGTATGGAAAATATCAATTTCCTTTGAATTTAATGCTTAAAATATAATTTCTCCATCAATTGTATTTTAACAAAAATAGACAAATAATTTAGATTGAAAACAAATCAAAAGATTTAAATCAACAAAATTTAAAATTTAAAATTTATTTTGTTATAAGATCCAAATCTTATTTATTTATTTATTTTGTAGTTTTCCCTTTATTTATTTACTGTTTCTAGGAACAAGAATCGATACCAAACATAAAGTAATCCCTTTTTCTTTTATACTACTAATGATTTGACATATTAAAACTCAAATACAAGATAAATATGTGGAACACTGTTACATTTGTGTCACATTTTATGAAAAGCTTCTCTGCCCATGGCACAGCTGTATAACACTTTCCATTCACAGACATTGCATTTCAAGATAAATTAGTGGTTTACAACAATGAGAGAAAGCTGATTGGATGGGCTTCTTCAAAATGCATTTATCCCCCCAGGTATTGACCTGTTTTCTTCTATGTTTGGTTTAAAGTTAGAATAGAATGGAACAGTTATTTTTTAACCTCCTTATAGAATAGTGAATGATATATCTATGAACAATGAATTTTTTTTTACTGAACCAAACGTGATAATAGATATTATGATAAAATAATCATTCCATTTCACCTTTGTTAACACTTTTTTTTTTTTTTTCTTTTTCATGTGACTTATATTAATGCATCCTTAATTACCCGAACTAATGTTTGTTCATGCTTGCTAACAGGGTTGAAGTTGATCATGATCAAGAAAGCAATGGTTTGTCTTCCCTTGAAGATGCTTAGGGCCATTATGAAGATAATAAAAAGGCATATATATACTAGAAGGTTGGGGTTTGCTGATTTAATGTGTGGAGTACAAGGTGTAGTTTGGGGGTAGTTTTTCTTTGCTTTTGTTTGTGGGTGTTTGCTTTTGTTGGTAGCTTGCCAAGTGTGATGTTGCTTGTGTCTGTATGTGTGTTGGGGGTGAGGGGTGTTTTTGGAAGAAACTTGGAATTTGCTTTGTGTATGTGCCAAATATGCTTCCTAGCGATGAAGTTTTTTTTCCTTAATCCTCCTTATCTCAATGTATTTCATCATTTCAAGTTAATAAAGTTTTTGTTTGTCGATGAATATACCTATATCTAAATTATATATAAAGTGAATATACTTTATGATGTTTTCAAACCTTAGTTTCTTATGCTATCAAGTATCCATGTTTCTATTTTTTTATTTAAAAAAAAATTAATTAGATGGGGGAGTGGGAATCAAACCTTAGAAAATTGAGTTGAATGAAGAAATTTTTACCACTTGAGCGGCACACATTATATATTAAGTATTTTGTTTTATCTGTACTTATTTGAATTGCACACATATCACGTGTGTCACCTGCTAGTATTAGAAGATGTGCACATCTAAATAAGTGTTTGAAATTTATAATTTCAAATTGACAGTTACAATTTACAAACGATTATGTGTTTCAATTCAACAGTTACAAAGGAAATGTAATTTAGAAATAAATTAAGTTTCAACAAAATGGTTCATACCAAGAATCACGCTTTATATATATATATATATATTAACAGTTGATACATATGTAATGTGTGTGTAAATGTATGTGATTGAGAAATAGAGAAAATGAATAGTTGAAAATTTGAATAATTTTTTCACAACGATAGTTTTTCAAACTGTCATGGATATTTTCGGAATAGAAAATCCTTACTTAGTTTACATCATAATTTTAGCAGAGATTTTGAAAAGAAAAGCACTAGTGATTGAAAAAATAAATAAAATATAAATTACTGTATTGAAATGCATGTGGTTGTTTGGTTTAGAATGTTTACAGGATGCCAAGAAAATGAAGTGTATATGGCATGTAGTTCAATGTGATGCGGTATGAATTATATTCAGAATTCTAAGCCTCCGTTTGGGAAGTGGATTGACTTTTTGATTTTTTGGTTTTTTTGGCTATTTTAGCCTGGGTTAAAAAATTTGGTTTGGGAAGGGCGTTTTGGCTTTTTGACTTTTTTTGTGAGAGAATAGCGTAATGATTATGGGTTAAATGTGATGTTTTATTTTTTGTGGCTAAAATAGTCTATTTTGCCTTTTGTAACTAAAATAACCAAAAAAACCCACTTTAGTTCTTCCCAAACGGACCCTAAATACTTTTCTCTACACTTTCTTTCTTTTTTTTCTTCTTTTTAAAAAGTATATAGAGCATTGCGGTTAGTATAATGAATCCTTCGATTGCAACAACAAATTGGTCTGCAGATGATCATGAATGGGGTTGTTACAACAATAAAATATATATATATATATATAGAATTTATATATAAAAATATATTCAAAAAAATTGGTAAAAAATACACTTTTTCAAAGAATCTGAAGTATAAATTAATTTTTTTGAATATTTTTTTTTTATAAATTAATTTTTTTGAGTATTTTTTGTATAAATTACTTATTTTAAGTATTTTTTTCACTTTTTTGGTTAAAAAATTAAAAAAATTAAAAAACTGACTTTTTACCAATCTTTTCAAAGCGCTCCTAAACAACATTGCCTTAATTTGCATATTTCAAAACTGGAGATTAAGCCTCCGTTTGGGAAGTGAGTTGGCTTTTTGGCTTTTTAATTTTTTTGACTATTTTAACCTGGGCTAAAAAGTTTGGTTTGGAAAGGGCTTTTTGGCTTTTTAGCTTTTTTGACTTTTTTTGTGAGAGAAGAATGTAATGATTATGAGTTGGATGTGATATTTTATTTTTTGTAACTAAAATAACTTATTTTATCTTTTGTGACTAAAATAGCCAAAAAAAATCCCGTTTAACTCTTACAAACGGAGCCTAAATTATATTCACTTAGCATATGACCCGACAAACCCAACAAAAGAATAATTTGCACATTGTCTTTATTCATTGTCTTCATTTGCACAGTATCTTTATTTTGTTGTCTTAATTATTAATTAATAATAAAAGAATAAAGAACCTCAACAAACCCATCGTGATAAAATGAAGAATATGACCTGACAATGAAATATAACAACACTAGATCCTTAATGGAGAAGTAAAAGGCTCATCCATTTTATTATATGATGTAGACTTCTGCACATTTGGAGTCAACAACTAACCATTTGGAAAATCAAATGTGAAGAGAAGTTATTTCGTGCTCCTGGTTATGTCATGTAGTATTTCAAGTATATGATATATTATATCTTCGTTTGGCATGTTAAATTTTTTGATTTTTTTAATTATAAAAAGATAAAATAAATTTTTTAACTCAATAAGACTAAACATCACATTCAACTCATAAATATTTTATTTTTTCTCTCATAAAAATTAAAAAAATCAAAAAAACATATCTCAAACGAGATTTTTTAATCTCAGAGTAAATAATCAAAAAGTCAAAAAGTAAACTCACATCCCAAACGAATCATATAATTTATAGAGAAGACGAGTTCAAAATTTTATGTTGAGTTAATAAAAAATAACAAAAGCTATAATGATTTGTGATTGCTCAAAAATATGATCCCATGGTATCCTAAATCATGTAATAATTTTTCCAAATGTGAAAGCAAAATCTGTGTTCCCCACGTTTCGTCAGTTTTGTCTATTCAACTTTTTCGATTGCGACCCGTTCAAAGGATTGGCCCACATTAATAATTTAAAATAATAATAATAATAATAATAATTTAAAATCACAACAAAACTCATATTTTAAATCCAATCTATTTTTTTTAAAAAACTAATATTAAATAGGTGGATATGTTTTGTATGAGTAAGGGATTATTTGGCATTTTCTAAAATAGTATATTTTTTATTTTTTTTAATCATATCATTTTTTTATTTTTTTACATATTTTTTTAAAAAAATTAAAAAATATATTTATTTAAATCATCTCAAACAACTCTTTACCTATTTGATTTGTAAAAAACAAATTTAATGACATTATGTTATGCTTAGGATTGGATCACTCTAATTCTGATTTGAATTGGAGAAATGATTCTCCTATATATAATAATGCTAGTGCTAATATGTTTGTTTATCAAAATTAAATATCATCTTTTTATGGTATTGCTTTAATGGCCAACTACTCAATGCAATTGTCTTACTGATACTGACAAATGAAACGTGATAATCATATTATTGGCTCATTATAGGAAACCTTAACTTTTGGTCAGATTATTTATTCTGAGGAATGATGTTAACTTTAGGAATTATCTGCGATGATTTAAATTAATATATTTTTTGATTTTTTATAAAACATAAGTTGGATATAGGTTGAATTTGAAGTGATGTGATAGAGAGATGATATGATATGATTTAAATAAGATGATATGACTTAAACAGAATAGTGACTTTTTGACTTTTTTAAATTACGACAAATAAGACCTTAATCTCCTAAAGGCTTGTTTGGATCAACTTTTTCAGCAGATTAACTTTTATACTGAAATTAAAGTCTTGTCTGGATCAATTTTATCAGATAATTTACTAGCATGTCATGTTACTCTATTAAAATACTTTAAAGGGTTGGTTTAGGGTGTGGACTGACTTTTTGATTTTTTGTCCTTTTATCTATTTTAGTCTGGAGTTAAAAAGTTTCGTTCGAAATAGACTTTTAATTTTTAACTTTTGTAAAAAAAAAAATAATTATAATTTAAATATAATATTTTATGTTATTAAACTAAAAACCTTATTTTTTTTTTATTTTTTGTGATTATTTTAGTCAAAATAGCCAAAAAAAAAAAAAACTTTCGTTTAACTTATGGCAAAGGAGGGCTTATCTAGGAGTCTTGTTTGGATCAACAATTAGCTGGCAACATGTGCCCTCAATAGTCTTATCTTATCAAAAGTCTTGGTTGGATCAACTTTTTCAGCAAATGTTTTATTTGACTTTTGACATTTTATTGATTTTTAATTTTTTTTACATTTTGGTAAAAAAAATTTAAAAAAATTCTACTAAAAGCCTAAAAGATAGAAAATTAAATGTTAATTAAGGCCTCGTTTGAGAGTTTGAATTTTAGCTTAAAAATCAAAAAATTATTTAAAAAGTTAAAAATCAACAAACTATATAAAAAAAATAAAAAAAATCTCCTCTCTACTTTTTATATTTTTTTTTTGTAAAAAATCAAAAAAGTTATCACAAACGTACTAATTTTTTTACTTTATATTTTAGTCAAAAAAATTAATAAAATAGTAAGTTTTCAAAAGAGGCTTTAAAATAAAACTACACTAAAAACTTTAATTGAAATGTTTCTATTTCTAGACACTATTTTAGTTCTAATATCATCTATTAAATAAAATTATATAATTGGGCGATCAATTTTGAAACAAAACTTATAATTTAACTATCAAGTTTCTAACCAAATGATATCCCCCTAGCTTGCTTTTTCTGCTCCTCGAAAGAGTTTAGTTTTCTCTGATACGATAGTTCTACAGTTTGGACTTCCGTAGTTTTGAATATAGCTTCACAAGTGCAATATGAAAATAAAAATAAAAAAATGAGACTCTAAATCCAACAAATCTTAGAAAATTCATTTATCATCATAGATGCTAGAAATGGACTGCATTGCCAAATTTCAGAGCATTGCCACATTTTTGAAAAATTTAGAAAACCCGTGACTCATGCCAAAGGCCACTTGTCTGTCTCGGGAACTTAGGTATGAGATGGAAATGTCATGAATTGGGCACTCCATTCACCTAATCAACGATCAGCTTCTACTAATCATGATATGATTTTTATGTACATTATATACTCTTGTTCCGATTATTATGCTAACTTACTATGTGAGGCACACAAGTATAGACTAAATCACTCACTTTAGAATACTTTGATTTCATATTTGTTTGAAAAGTGTTTTGAATATATGTCACTTGAAAAAGTGGGCTCATATATACATTAATCAAATGCATTCCAACTTAAGTAAAATATCCTTCATCCACCGGCATTCAAGAGGTATATCAAAGAAACACTTAGCCGCATGGTAATATACTTGTTATGGCAACACAAACATTTATGAAATAAGCTAAAGCAAAAATGTTCACTTAATACTCAACTGAGGCAAGCCAAAATAGGAGAAAATAGTTAGAAAAATGCTTGTTCTAATATGCAAGTGACTAATGCAACACATACAAAATGCAAG